TTAAATTAGTTTTAAATAAAATTAAAATATAAAAAAAAATCATTTTGAAATAATAAAAAACAAATCATAAAAATTTATTCTTTTTTAATTCTTCTTCTTTTTTTCACATTAAATTTAAACAATCTTCAAGTTCTGGTATCATGATTACATGTTGAGAAATATTCCCTAATCTATATACTGACTTTTTTGGTAATGAAACTACTGTTGCTTCTTCTAAAAAATGTGGTTTTGTTCCTTTTGTTAATTTATAAGTAATTCCTCCAATTCTCATAGTTGCAATTCCACTTTTTCTAAATTGAATAGTTCCAATATATCCTGACATTCCTTTTAATGGATTTTCAACTAATTTAATATTACTTTCCTCATCAATTTTTTCTTCTTTTTCTTCTTCTTTCTTTATAATATTATTACTTTCTTTTTCTGTTATTTCTACTCCCTTTTGAATAGGTAAAACTGATGGTATTTGCATCATAATATATTCATCATATAAAATTCCACTTTCACTATGTAATGGATTATTAATAAATCCTGGATTTTCTTCAATTGTTTCTAGTGGTGTATAATATGTTTTTTCTTTATCTAAAACTGGTTCTTTTATTTCTTCTTTTTTCCCTTTTATTTCTTCTTCTGGGTCTCTTAATGGAAGTGTAATTGGATGATTTGGATTACATGGATCAAAATCTAATTCAGGGTTTAATAATAATGTTTTCTTCTTTTCTTTTTTATTTTCTTCTTTCATCCCTATATCTTCTCCTGCTGTCATTGTTAAATTACTTATCCCTAATCCACCATTTCCATGTGCAACCGGTCGTGGTTTGAATACTCGTGGTGTTGGTGTAAATGTTGTTTTCTTAATTTTTGCTTGTTCTTTTTTAACTTTCAATTTAGCTCGTCCTTCACTCTCATTATTTGCTTCAGGTTTAAATCCTGCTGCTCGAATATTAGGTGCAAATTGAATTTTTGGTTGTGACGGTTGTATCCCACGGATAGAAGTTAGTCTTGAGTTGGCCGTGTTTTGAGAGTTTTGCGTTAATAATTGCGAAAGAGGAATGTTTTGATGAGGTTCACTCATTACTTCTTTTATAATTAAAACTCTTTTTTTTTTTATTTAAACTTTTTTGTATTTTTATTATTTATTATTATTTGTTATAGTTTATATCTCTTTATTGAGTCATTGAAAGCGTTTAAATAGTTATTACCCTCTGTTACATTACTCTTTCATTTTATTTACCTCAAGTCTTTTTTGATGTGTGTGATAGATATTATTAAAATCAATTATCACAAATTGAATAAAATCATTTTTCGTTTCTGAATACTTTGATAAATTAAAAAATTCGAAGGATGTAAAGAAATAAATGTAATATGTAAAAATATGATAGGAATGGTTGTTGACTATTTCCTTTGTTTAGAATAAAAATTGATTTAAAAGAATTGCGTTTTCATAATAATAAGAGAAAACCAGAAATTTGTAACTAATTAAAAAATTATATATTTATTCAATATTAATAACACTAACTCTGGTTGAGTAAACAAAGACCTACAATTATAATGAGAAGTAATATTTTGTTATAGAAAACGGATTTGAGCGTTAAAGTAATTTATGGATATAGTTTTTTTACTACAATAAATGAATGAGATAAATTATAAATGGCTTAGTATTGAATGGTTGATATCAAACAAATAAACCATTATCCAGGAAAATTATTATTTATATATAATTTAGGTTCAATGTAGAATTAAATTTTTTTACTATAAAATTAGTAAAAAATGGAGAAAAGAAATAAGGTTGAATTTAGTTTGATTTTTTAGTAGAAGTTGTTAAGTATTAAGTTGAATAAAAGTCTAAAAAAAATTACTGGAGAAGGTAGTTTTATTCAAAAGAAAGGATAAAATACATCCAAGTATTTAAAAACGTAAAGAACCAAAGAGCATACATAAGAATACCTGTAACTTAGTCTTTACTTAATAATTTTGTCTACAAAAAAATAAAAAAAGCTCATCAACTCAAAGACAGTTTCATCTAAAGTTGTAAAAGTTATTTTTTTCAGTTGACTTACTAATAAAAGGTAAAAAAATAAAACACATCAACAATACACAAAAAATCCAAAAACGAAATTCAGTAGATAAAAGTATGTTTATTTTCAAGAACACTTAGTTATATTTTTGTTTCTCATTTGGACAATCCAAATAACACAAAAAAGAGAAAGTGTAACAATTTCATGGAAAGATTAGAATTTTAGAGACAATTACAAAAATAAAATTTTTGTAATATTGTCATAAAATAGCATAATGAATAATTTTTTAGTTTTAATAATTATTAATTTAATATGATGTAGTAACTATTCTGATAATGAATTTAAATCAAGATTTTTTTAGAATAAGTAGCTTTGAGGTAATAATGAGAAAGCTTTGATGAGGGAATCAGAATGATTTGAAAAGAAGATTATAAAAAATCTTAAAATAATAAGAATATAATGGATAGATTAAAATACAATAAAAGAAGCTTGGAAATAATATTGAGACGAAACAAAACAAAGTATCGGTTGTTGTATGATTGTTGTGTTATTTGTTTTATTTATATAATCACTGTACATCATATGTATGATTCTGATTATACATTATTGAGAATGACTCGGTTTTGGACTTACTTCGGTATGTGGAGTTGTGGTGGATATTTCTTTATTAATTTTTTAAGACAACTCTCAATGTTATTATTAAGTGAAGTAAATGTAAAGAGTCATAAAGAATTTCTTAGTCAAAAAGATATTCGTCTTATACATTTTATTGTTGAGTTTATTCAACAAACAGCAGTTTCTATTGCGATAAGTGTATCTTTGATGTTTTGGATTCTTTATTTTAAATCTCCATCAACGGTTTTTAGGGCAACAGATGAATGGCAACCAACCTTATTTGAAGAATGGTATTATACACACTTTGAACATACATTCCCATTAGTCTTTTTATTAATTGATTGTTTCCTCTTCAAACAAGGAAATACTAGAGTATATAATGTTTATTTTATTAGTAAATATGGACCATATTCTGCCTTTTTGTTATATTCATCAATTACTCTTTATGACTTCCATTATTATAATATTAAGCCATATCCTTTTATGGATAATTGGAATATTTATGCCTTACTTTCTTTTATCATAGGATTTCTTATTATATTTAAATTAATATTTAATCCATGTGCATTATTAATACGTTATTATCTTAAATTATTATCAAATAAATTATTTAACATTCTTTACAAAAGAATAAATTGATTTATTTATGTTTGATTAATTTATGTTATATATAACGATAATAAAAAAAAATTAATTAAGAATATTGAGTACATCCAGTTTTATTGTTTTTCCAATGAGTTTTAGTATATGGTTGCATACAAAGCCAGCAAAACTGGTAACCACACTTACATGTCATACAATTACAACCACCATTTTTTTCAATTGGTTTGTGACATTGAGGACATAATTTAGTATTTTTTTTGATATAAACTTTAAAAGCATCATCACCCATACTATTTTCTTTTTTCCATCTTTGATACTGTTCACAAGTACAGTCAGCATGCCACTAAGAGATTAAATAGAATTTGTTTATTATTATAAAAAATAATTTAAACAAACTTGTTCTTTACATTTACAACAGAAACAATAATTACATTTTACACATCTCACCATAGTAATTCCAGGTTCTCCAATCATAGGTGTACCACATTTAATACAGTATAAAGTGTTAGGGTCATTGTCAAGTCTAATTCTTGTTAGTGTAGAGTTATACTTTTCTAATAAATCTGGGTCAGATATAATACCATAACTAATTAACTATAATTTATTTGTATTTATTTAATTAATAATTATTTAAAACAAACATCGTTATATGATATTTCTTTGTTACAATTTTCTTCTGGACAAAGGATAGGTCCACTTGCTTGTTTAATTTTTTCTTTAGCATGTTCTGATATACAACTAAGACAAAAACTATGTCCACATTTAGGATTTGTGTAAAAAAAAGATTGGTCAACATCTGCATAACAAATAGAACAATTAATTACATCATCTTGTTTATGAGAAAATGACATTCTTCTTTGATCAATATAGTCCTTAATCAATTTCTTTCTTGTAGCTATATCACTTTTTAAAAGAAATTCGAAGTCTATTGAAGGATAATTAGTTTGCATCAACAATTCTCTAATTTGAAGTTCTTCTTTTAAAAAATTAAATACAACTCTGAAATAAAAAATTAACATCATTTGGTTAATTAATTGAAATTTAAGCTGGTGCATACATACCATGATATGGATGGTTAGCAAGTTCAGCAAGAAGTCGTTCTGCTGATTCAATTTTATCTAATGGATGAACTTCTGACTTGGCTTGTTCTGACCATTCTTGAGTTAATTCATACTCCTCTTCTTCTTCAGCATCATCACCATCAACTTCTTCTTCGTCTTCATCAAAGAAATCTGCCTCTTCTAAATCTTCATCATCATCGTCAAGATCTAATTCATCGTCATCAAGGTCTTCTTCAGAATCAAGAATGTCCTCATCATCAAATTCAGCAAACAAAGATTCAGCAACAGCATCGTCATCATCTTCTTCGTCATCATCTTCTTCATCATCCTCATCTTCTTCGTCTTCATCATCTTCATCATCCTCATCATCTTCATCCTCATCATCTTCGTCTTCATCATCTTCATCATCTTCTTCGTCTTCATCATCTTCTTCGTCTTCATCTTCTTCTTCTTCTTCGTCTTCTTCGTCTTCGTCTTCTTCTTCTTCGTCTTCATCATCATCATCTTCTTCTTCTTCGTCTTCGTCTTCGTCTTCTTCGTCTTCGTCTTCATCTTCTTCATCTTCATCTTCTTCGTCTTCATCATCATCATCATCATCTTCTTCTTCTTCTTCTTCTTCTTCTTCTTCTTCGTCTTCATCATCTTCTTTGTCTTCATCATCATCATCTTCTTCTTCTTCTAATAGGAACTCATCATCCTCATCATTATTTTCTTCTTCAAAAAGTTCTACATTATCTAATTCAGTGAAATCAATATCGAATGTGCTGTCAAGTTCATCTTCTTCTGCAAAAGCAAAAGCAATTAAAGCAAGTAACAAGAGTACTTTCATTTTATAATTAAAATATAAAATTTTAAGTTTTAATTAGTTCTTTTTAGTTTTTATAACTTTTGAAAATTTTATAAAGAAAGAAAAACAATAATTTTTTTGATTTCAATGAATTATAAAATGTTTTATATTTTTTGCAGTGATTCGAATAGTCAAAAGAAATAATAAGAACAGAGATCTTGTGATTTACAAGAAATTAATAATAAAACGATAAGATGAAACATAAATAATGATAAAATAAAAAGACAATAATTTCTAAGTAATAAAACAAAAAGAAAAAAACATAATTAAAGCAATCAGTTTGAAAAAGTAAGTAATCTAAACAATAGACAAATTTAGATTGATGAGCACAAACACCTCTTCACATTCAACAAGACAAACTCTTCAATCTTTTACACGCAGTACACATCGAACAAATACAAGCATTACTATGAATATAAGTAGTAAACAGACGTATGCAAGTATCTTAACAAATACACAAATGAAACCAACAACAAAAAATACGTCAGGAAAAGTAAACTTTACTACAAATGATGACATAGAAGATATCAATGAATTTCCATTTAATAAAAAAGTATTTCTTTTTACAATAATATTTCCTTGTATTGGATATTATGGTATTTTCCATTTAAATAACAGCAACAGAAGAGAAAGGTTATGGGGAGTAGCAATGTTAATTTATGCAGTATTAATGATGGTAGTTGTTATAGTGATAATAGCATTATTTGTGTCATTGTATTAAATAATACATTAATTATTCCTTCAATTATTTCTAATTACTATTTGTAATATTATATTTTTATTATTATTTTATTATTTTATTTAAAAATAATAATTAATAGTATTTTAATAATAATTAATATTATTCTTAAAACCCTCATTGAAGTACTTAAGGAACTATAAAAAAGAAAAATAAAACAAAGAGAAGTATATTATGCCCCCCAAGCCAAATCCAAATGAAAAGAAAGAGCGTTTGTCATCCATACGTTATTAAAGTATTCTTATTATAGATACTTTATAACAATATTTTGGTGGATAAATATCTTTCTAAAAAATAAATACTCACTTTTATAGTTGTTGTCAAAGTTGTAGCTGGTGATGCCGCAGCTGGTGCTTCTCTTGGACCAAAGGTTGGTCCTCTTGGACTTAACCCAAAGAAAACAGGTGATGACCTTGCTAAATCAACATTAGCATGGAAAGGATTGAGAGTAACAGTTAAGATTACTGTTGTTAACAGAGTAGCTACATACGAAGTTATTCCATCAGCTGCTGCTCTTATTCTTAAAGCCCTCAAAGAACCACCAAAGGATAGAAAGAAGAACAAGGGAGTTCCAACAGTACACTCTGGTTCTATTTCAATGGACGATGTTTATGAAATTGCTAGAACAATGAGACCAAGATCACTTGCTAAGACATTTTCAGGAACAGTTAAAGAAATTCTTGGAACATGCAATTCATGTGGATGCCAAGTAGATAAGAAATCACCAAAGCAAGTAATTGCAGAAATTAACAACGGAGAAATTGAAGTTCCAGAAAACTAAATGAATTTTGAATTGTTAAATTGAATTTTAAAGTTAGAAGGTTATAATTCATTTTAAATAAAATAAAAGAAAAAATTAAAAAAAAAATATTGAATAATCAGTTTTTATCAAATTACTGTTTTGAGTACGAAGATATAATTCTAAAGTAACTCCTAACTTTATTAAATCTTCTAATTTATAATTTGTTCCATTTAAAGAACTTACTTGTAAAATAATGTCTTTAGCTGTTTTTGAATTTTTTCTTGTTTGCTTAAAAGTAATAACATAATTATATTGTTTTAATATTTGTACTACTAACTCTTGCTGACATGAAAGCCTTCCTGTCGTTATTTCTTTTTGTACATCTATTGTTCCCAAAATATCTGTACAAATTTCACTAATTACTAATTGAGTTGATTTAAAACATTTACACCTTCTTTTTGCTGGTTTTTGGAATAAAACAGTTGCATGATTTTCTTTAATTAATAAAGCAAGGACGCCATTTTGTACAGCGTACTGAATTCTTTTAGTTGAAATTTTATTGTTAGGCATTGTCTTTATTTAATCAAACAAGAAATTAATTTATTTTCAAAAAACAGTTAGTAAATAGTATGTCAATTTAAAATGTCATTATTAAAAATTAAAGAATCAAAATGGTTGAGTTATTTTTAATAATAAATAAAAAAAGAGGAATAAATAATACTTAAAAAATATTATATTGAATTTTAACTAAAATTTTTGCATTGAAAATAATTCAATTAGAAACTACTGAAACTTGATGAAGATGAATTTTTCTTTTTGTAAATAATTATGATAATTATCAATGCAACAATAATAATTACGAAATAAACTGCATAAAGGAGAATACCCCAAATTCCCCACCCAGAAATACCATGGTGTTGTTCATTATTATCGTCATTATCATTAGTACTACTTTCTTCAGGTGGTGGCATTGGTGGATTTTGTGATTTTTCTTCAAGAATTACTTCAGCCTCAATCATTCCATCATATCCATGTTCAAGTGAAGCAATAAATAAGTAATAGTTTGTATCTGGTTGAGTTTGGTATGACAACTCTGCACCAAATGTACCACATGCTTTTTTACTTGAGTTAGTACCTGCAACCATAATATCAGGAATAGAAACATACTTACCATCTTCATCTTTTTGAGTATTACAGCTTTTAAAGATAGCAATAACGTTATTAATTTCAGTACCTGTAGAACACGTACGAATTGTTAATTGTAATGGTACATGAGTATTAAACCTAAAATATGATCCTTTAAGAACTTTTCCTGAAACTTTAGTTTCATGTGCATAAGTAGTATGAACGTATATAGTTTGTTGAGCTTCAACAGTGTCAAGATAATCTGATGTTTCACACATAGATCCAGCAGGGGCTTGAGTTGGATAAATAGAAAATCGATGTGCACGAGCAGTTCGTTCTTTTTGAGCAACTGCAATATTATATACTGTTCTGGAATATGCAGAGAATGTAAGTCTACTTGAAGTATCAGCAGAATTATCTAAATTATCATTATAAGCAATGCAATTAACATTTTCATCACCATAACATCCAGTCAAAACTTCAATATAAGTGTCAACTTTAGTGTCAGATGAAACAGTTGATGCAATTACGTCAAGACTTTCTGATAATTGAATAGAATACCAGAAACTAGGATATTGTGTCATAATACATTTAAGAGTATTAGATTGTGTTGTATCAATAAATCCAACAGTTGTAAATGGAATAGAAATTATCTTTGGAGCAGTACATACTGAATGAGCAATATCATCAAATTTAACAATTCCTACAGATAACGTTTCTTGTCCTCCTGTACCGTAAACAAAAATATATCTAAATTCATCATTTAGGAATACATCCATTTGAGCAGTGTTTGTTTCTTTGCTAACACACTGAGTTGAGTCACATGTTAGTTGTTGTTCAATTCCTATATTTGCAATATCACCACTTAATGTACTAGCACCAATACGATAGTGTTCAACTGAAGATGAAGTACTTTTCTTAAGTTGATACCATGCACCTTGATGATATTCTTCAACACCATCACAACCATGAAGTGATTTTTTTAATTGTTTTAATGGAATTGTATCAGTATAACTTTCAATTAAAGAAAGAGCATCAACACATTGGTAATGATTTTGACCTTTTAATTGTACATTCATAACAATTTTACTATCAGATTCTTTTGCATAAAATTTAGCAATGTACGTAACTCCAGCATCAAGATGGAATACTTTATATTCATCTTTATTACAACTTCCACTGTAAAGTGGTTCCAAAACAGTAGTTGATTTACATCCTTGAATTAATTCAATACCAGTACCACTAACTTTAGACTCTGTTTTACAAGTTGAAAAAACAACATCATTATCAGTTCCTATAATACTTAAATAAAATACTGGGTATTGAGCTCCACCTTCAGAAATAACAGGAGTTAAAGGCCATGCAGAAGGAACGTTTTGAGTCCTTGTAAATGGTAAATTAATACTAACAGCATTTTCACAATTAAATGGAAGAGTATTATCAACAGTTTGTACATTAACTTGGAATCTACCATTTGCTCCATTCTTTCCAAAAACACCAATATGATAATCTTTTCCTTCTTCTGATTTAAATAAAAGAGTAGAACCAGTACTTCCTTTTCCACAACCATTATCATTATATTTAGTACATTCAGCTTGTTTACAAGTATCTCCAAGATTAATAGAATCAACAAGTACTAAATAAGTATCAATTTGTGTTAAGGAAGAACATGTATCAACAAGATAATATTTTCCTGTTCCTTTCATATGATACCATTTAGCTGGCATTGATTGTGAAAGACATTTAACATCACCAGTAGGATAATTTACAGTATAATCAGAGATATCAGAGTATGGAATAGATTGAATTTCAAGTGCTTGTTCACAATAATAGTTTGGTAAGTTATTTACTTTTACAAAACTGGTAGCAAGATTACCTGATCCATTTCCTACAACTTTGACAAGTACATACGTTGTAGTATTTGCCTTAAGATCAAAGAATGAAGCAGATTTTCCAGTTGAAGAACAAGTAACATCACTCTTTGAGATTTTAGTAATTCCTGAAGCAACACCATTGTTACAATCACTGAAAATATAAATTTCAGTTTCAACTGTAGTTCTTGCACCACATGTAGAAACATACAAAGAGGTATCTTCAATTTCATTTAACATAAAATAAAGTCCACGAACAGTTTCAGTTGATTTAGTTCCATCTTCTTCAGTAAGTTCCACAGTTGAAGTTTGTAGATTTTCATCAATTTTATGATGGTAAATATATGATTGTTGAACAATAATTGGAAGAGCCATGGTACATTGTAAATTTGTTGGTATATCATCTGCTCTTGCAAAAAGACACAAGAGGAGAGTAATTAAAAGCATATGAATTTATATGATTTATTAGTTTTGTTCCTTTTCTTTTTTCTTTAATTTCCTTTTTAAATTTCTTTTAAAACATACTACTTTCCTTATTAATTAGCTTTTTTCCCGCTTTTTAATATCCAAACTCTCTTCTTTTTCACCCCTTTTTAAAAGAAAAACTTTTCCACTTTAACCATTAATAACTTTTCTAGTTTATCTCATTCAATGATGCTATTTCTTAATAATAAAATTATTAATAAATATAGTTTTTTTTTATTCTTTCCAATATACTTTTCATGTGAATTTTCATTTTTTCTTTTTTTTCAAATTCCGTCTTTTTCATTTGCTTTATTTGTTTTTCTTTAATTTAGCAAAGTATATTGTTAATACTCAAATTGAATAAGAGATATAAAAAGTGTTTGGCATCACTAAAAACAGTTTCATAAATAAAACAGAACAAAAGCACCTTTTATTACAATAACATTAGTAATAAAATACATGAGCTTTTTTGTCAAATATTTTTATTATTCAATAAAAACCAGTGTAGTATAAAAATAAAATAGAATTACTGTATAAATAGGCAATCTTATTTGCTAAATATCATATATTTGTTCATTAATAAGTGATAATTTTTAAGAATTATTACAATTAACATTTATTACTTTAAAAAAAGATTAATTACTAAGAGAAAAGTTTAATTTTATGAAAAATTAGAAGTTATTGATAATTTGATTAGTTTAATATAAGTCTCTTCAATAATGAAATAATAGCATTTAGTGTGCTAATAATATTATATCATTCATTATTTGAATTTATATATCTAATATTTTTCATTTAAATAATAAAATTGTTATTTCGTTTGTTAATATTAATTTAGTATAAAATATTGAAGTAATTCATATTTATTGATTATTTTATCATTTAAAAGAAATAGAAGTAGTATAAATAAGATATTTTAATATTTATTGAAAATATCATTTATTTCATTTAATACATTCCATGTTAATACTATTTCATTGATTAATACTCATATAGATCATTTTAATCATTTAATTCAATAACTTTATTAATATTAATATTATTTAATTTTATATTATTAGTCGTTACAAATTTGAATATTTATTTACAGAATTTAATTGATTATTAAATATTAATATCACCATAATTTTTTGGTTTTTTTATAGAATATATTTGAAATTACTTTCTTTTATTTTGTTATTTACAATGTTTAAATATATCAACATAGTTCTGATCTTCTTTTAATTCAATTCTCTTCATCACTTATTATTC